AAGGAAAAGAGGGGAAGGAAGGAGGAAAGGCAAGGAAAAGAGGGGAAGGAAGGAGGAAAGGCAAGGAAAAGAGGGGAAGGAAGGAGGAAAGGCAAGGAAAAGAGGGGAAGGAAGGAGGAAAGGCAAGGAAAAGAGGGGAAGGAAGGAGGAAAGGCAAGGAAAAGAGGGGAAGGAAGGAGGAAAGGCAAGGAAAAGAGGGGAAGGAAGGAGGAAAGGCAAGGAAAAGAGGGGAAGGAAGGAGGAAAGGCAAGGAAAAGAGGGGAAGGAAGGAGGAAAGGCAAGGAAAAGAGGGGAAGGAAGGAGGAAAGGCAAGGAAAAGAGGGGAAGAAAGGAGGAAAGGCAAGGAAAAGAGGAGAAGGAAGGAGGAAAGGCAAGGGAGGAGAGAGGAGTGGGAAATGAGGAAGGAAGCGAGAGAGATTAAATTTGCGGTGAGAAAGAGGGAAGGAGGAGGGATGGAGGGAGATAGATGAGAAAGGAGGAATGGAGGGAGGGAGCGAGAAATAAACGGAAAATGGGAAAGGGAAAGGAACAGTAGAGGAAAGAGAAAAAAGGAGAGAAATGAGGTTGAAGGAACAGCGAATAAATGGTAAAGGAAGGGGAAAGGGATAATGGAAGGTAGACGAAATGAGGGAATGAGAGGGAATACAGGATAAAGAAAAAAAAGGATAGAGGACGTGAGGGGAGGGCAAGGGGGGGGAAGAAGAGAAAGTAGGGAGAAGAGCATGAGATGAGAAAGAAGAGAAAAAGAGCACCGAAAAGATCATAGAGAACGACAAACGAAGAGCAAAAGAAAGGAACTGACGGAAAGCGAGGAAAGGAGGGGCGAGGGAGGGGGAGGAGGAGGAGGCGAAAGGGAAAGAAAAGACAAAAAGGGAGAAAGGTAAGGAAGGATCCACAACGCGAAAGAATGCCTCCCTTCCCCCACTCAGCTAACCCCCCCACCCCTCCCCCGTGCATACCTGTCAAGTGCCCGTGCCAGCCTGACAATATCCGGTCAAGAAGCGCTAATGTCATTCACGCACGGCATCTTCGCATTTGCTCCACACACGCCTATGCCTAAGGGCCCTGTGTGTGTTTTTTTTTTGGTGTGCCTATGTGTGTTTTTTTTTGGTGTGCCTATGTGTGTGTATTACGTACGTGTGTGTGTGTGTGTGTGTGTGTGTGTGTGTGTGTGTGTGTGTGTGTGTGTGTGTGTGTGTGTGTGTGTGTGTGTGTGTGTGTATGTATCACGTACGTGTGTGTGTGTGTGTGTGTGTGTGTGTGTGTGTGTGTGTGTGTGTGTGTGTGTGTGTGTGTGTGTGTGTGTGTGTGTGTGTGTGTGCGTGTGTGTGCGTGTGTGTGTGTGTGTGTGCGTGTGTGTGTGTGTGTGTGTGCGTGTGTGTGTGTGTGTGCGTGTGTGTGCGTGTGTGCGTGTGTGCGCGCGCGCGTGCGTTTCGTTTTCTTCTCTTTTCTTTTCTTTCTTCTCCATCCACAGCCGTATAAACAACATAAACACAAACAAGCAAATAAACAAACATCGTCCATAATACACATGCAGCCTACAGCTTATGTGATCAACCAATACAAAAAAAATAAACAGATTAAGCACGCACCACTCACCAGATAAATCTTTCAACAGAACCTAATTTCACCTAATTACAAAATATCATGTATATTTATTTTCTAAGCAAAATACGCAGGCTGGCCAGACATGCGAGTCACACAATCACCCAAGAGAGGAAAAAAAAAAAAATTTAAGGACCTTTCCAAAAAAAAAGGGAAATAATCCGTAATAGGGGGGAGGGGGGAGGGGGGAGGGGGATGTTGACATCACCCCCCCTTTCCCTTCCCTACTCTCCCCCCCCTACACAGATCACTAACTATTCTCACTCTCGCCCTATGGCCATCCACACGATACTTTCTCCCCCCCCACTATATTTTTTCCCCACACACTCTCTCCCTAAACCCTTCCTCCCTTCCCCCCCCTCTATCCTCCCACACTCATAATCCCCTCTGTTTCCTCCCTCTACACCCCCCCCCCCGTCCCTCTATTTCCCCTCTCCTCTCTCTCCCATTCTCACCGACATTCCTCCCCCCCCCCAACACTCTTTCATACCCTGGACACACACACACACACACTACTCCCCCCTACCCCCTCCGCCCTTCACCCCCCCCCCCCTCAGCAAAAGACCAGATTACTTCCCTTGACCTTCAAGACACTTAATGACTCGGCAAACATTCTCTCTCTCTCTCTCTCTCTCTCTCTCTCTCTCTCTCTCTCTCTCTCTCTCTCTCTCTCTTGAGGAGGGAGGATGGGTGGAGGGAACAGGAGGGAGGGAGTGGAGGAAGATAAAGATAAAAAAGAAATAGAGAAAGAGAGAAAGAGAGAGAGAGAGAGAGAGAGAGAGAGAGAGAGAGAGAGAGAGAGAGAGAGAGAGAGAGAGAGAGAGAGAGAGAGAGAAAGAGAGAGAGAGAGAGAGAGAGAGAGAGAGAGAGGGGGGGGGGGAGATAGGGAGGGACGGAAGTGGCCACAGGCCAACACAACAAAGAAAGGCAGGAAATAATCCTTATCACAAAAAACTAAACCCCGTCATCACGCAAAGCCACTTGTAATGACGACCATGTCATCCACCTGTCATGACGCCTACGCAGACCGCTTGTCATTATGCAAAGGCATGTCCTGACGAGGCTTTTTTCTTAGAATCCGAAGCACCACAATCCGCCCACGCCCCTTCCATGCCGCAGCTGTCTCAATGGCTACTTCAGGGCAGATAACACCTTTCCATACAATGCTTACTGTGCATACATCATGCACCTCCTTCGAAGCATGCATGCATACACATACACATACACATACACATACACATACACACACATACATTCACACGCACAGGCACGCATGCGCGCATACGCGCGCACACACACACACGCGCACATCAAATTCTGGCGTGACTCGTGTGACTGGTTGACATCTCGTCACATTTGACTGTCATTTAGAGTCTAGCTGATGCTACCGAGAGTCAAACTCATGTCACATGTCAGGTCATCCAGAATCGGGCTAAGGACAGAAATCATGTCATCCGAAATCAGGCCCATGTCACCTGATGCCTTCTGAAATCAGTTTCACGGCATCTGAAATCAGGCCCATGTCATCTGAATTCAGGTTCATGGCATCTGAATTCAGGTTCATGGCATCTGAATTCAGGTTCATGGCATCTGAAATCAGGCCCATGTCATTTGCAATCAGGCCCATGGCATCTGAAATCAGGCTCATGGCATCTGAAATCAGGCCCATGCCATCTGAAATCAGGCCCATGCCATCTGAAATCAGCCTCATGAAATCTGAAATCAGCCTCATGCCATCTGAAATCAGCCTCATGCCATCTGAAATCAGGTTCATGCCATCTGAAATCAGGCTCATGGCACCTGAAATCAGGCTCATGGCACCTGAAATCAGGCTCATGGCACCTGAAATCAGGCTCATGGCACCTGAAATCAGGCTCATGGCACCTGAAATCAGGCTCATGGCACCTGAAATCAGCCTCATGGCACCTGAAATCAGCCTCATGGCACCTGAAATCAGCCTCATGGCACCTGAAATCAGCCTCATGGCACCTGAAATCAGCCTCATGGCACCTGAAATCAGCCTCATGGCACCTGAAATCAGCCTCATGGCACCTGAAATCAGCCTCATGGCACCTGAAATCAGCCTCATGGCACCTGAAATCAGCCTCATGGCACCTGAAATCAGCCTCATGGCACCTGAAATCAGCCTCATGGCACCTGAAATCAGCCTCATGGCACCTGAAATCAGCCTCATGGCACCTGAAATCAGCCTCATGGCATCTGAAATCAGGATCATGGCATCTGAAATCAGGATCATGGCATCTGAAATCAGGATCATGTCACCTGAAATCAGCCTCATGTCATCTGAAATCAGCCTCATGTCATCTGAAATCAGCCTCATGCCATCTGAAATCAGCCTCATGGCATCTGAAATCAGCCTCATGCCATCTGAAATCAGCCTCATGGCATCTGAAATCAGGGTCATGCCATCTGAAATCAGCCTCATGGCATCTGAAATCAGCCTCATGGCATCTGAAATCAGCCTCATGGCATCTGAAATCAGCCTCATGGCATCTGAAATCAGCCTCATGGCATCTGAAATCAGCCTCATGGCATCTGAAATCAGCCTCATGCCATCTGAAATCAGCCTCATGGCATCTGAAATCAGCCTCATGGCATCTGAAATCAGCCTCATGCCATCTGAAATCAGGATCATGTCATCTGAAATCAGCCTCATGCCATCTGAAATCAGCCTCATGCCATCTGAAATCAGCCTCATGGCATCTGAAATCAGCCTCATGGCATCTGAAATCAGCCTCATGGCATCTGAAATCAGCCTCATGGCATCTGAAATCAGCCTCATGGCATCTGAAATCAGCCTCATGGCATCTGAAATCAGCCTCATGGCATCTGAAATCAGCCTCATGGCATCTGAAATCAGCCTCATGGCATCTGAAATCAGCCTCATGGCATCTGAAATCAGCCTCATGGCATCTGAAATCAGGATCATGACATCTGAAATCAGCCTCATGTCATCTGAAATCAGGCATACGAAATATGACTAAAACCAGGTGAAATAAAGCTGCTGTCACCTGAAGTCTGGCTGATATCAAGTGAAGCCATGTGAAGTCAGTCCGTGATGAGAAATCCTTTTAATGTCATGATTATGTCACCATTAGTTGAGCTGGTCAAAATGAAGTCATAAGAGCATGTCTAGCATGACGTTCTCTGAATTCAAGCAATGTCTGCGGCATTATGTCAGTGAGTGAATGAGATGTACCTTTGTGTATTTCCATTATGCTAAAATAATTTTTTTTTAGTAAGCGTTTTCACATTTCTTCTGAATTTCCAAAATATTTGCTACAGTTGCCTGTCAAACATTAATAAAAAAAAAAAAAAAAAAAAAAACACGACCGAAGAAAATATATAAATAAATAAATTGGATGCCAACTTACCTTATTATTTTCCTGCGGTTGTTGGGATGATACTGGGCGGCTGCGTCCGGGTCAATCTTTTGCAACCTTTGATATAACTCCTCTGTTGGGATCTCTGTATCTTGCCACACTGCACACTTTGCACTATCGACACCCTCATCTTTTCCTCTTTCTCTTTCATCCTCACTATGATCACCACATTTCTCCTTTCCCAAGGGCTTTTCCTCTCCACTAATCAGCTGATTTTCCTTGGTGCTTCCTTCACATTGCACATCACCACTTTTCTTAGCACTACCAATGGAATTATTGTTATCAACACTTTCCACACCATCGGAACCACAGCAATCACCACTGCCATCACCACTATCACCACCACTGCACTCACTGCCGAGAATGGCATCACTATTTAACTTGCTCTTTTTCCAGGCACTCTCATCACCATCTTTTGAGCCACTGGCATTTCGCTTGGACGACTGCACGTAAAACTCCTTATCCCGATCATAGACCAACTTTTTGGGAGCCGAGCTATCCTCCTCGCTTGCCGGCAGACTATCCACGAGTACATTCCACAAGAGCGACTCGATGTAGTAATTTGTGCCGCCCACTATGACCGGCATCTTGTCCAGTGAGAGGAGATTCTCCAGAACAGGAAGGGCAGCATTTCGGAAGTCAACGACAGTGTACCGAGACAAGGGGTCCACAAAATCCAAGAGGTGGTGTCGCACCTGTGCCTGCTCTTCTGCCGTTACTTTATTTGTCACAATGTCCAGGCCTTTGTACACCTGTGAGGAAGAGAACAAACACATTTCTCTTAAACAACAAACACAGATCTATTCAAGCTTAAAAAAAAAAGAAAAAAAAGAATCATCCTTCTATCTTCTGATAATCTTAAATGCCTTTTATATATATCCCCCAATACAAAAAATATCAAGATTCTTTACATAATCTATAAGGCTTAAATAAATAATAAAATAAAGGTGAGTTTCAATTACCACTCACACAAACAATAAGAGGATTTCTTCAGTATAAATGTACATTTGTACAATTGCACAAACTGAAGTACTAACTGTTATATATATTCTGTTAATATACATGGTTAATGTTATCAAGAGCTCCAGTGAGAGAGAGAGAGAGGGAAATGGAAACCGCCATCTTATAAAGCATAAGAAATAGAGTCATAAACAACATATTTATTGCAAAATGAAGAAAATATCCCCTGCATATCACTGCTCAGAGACCACAACCACCTCACACATGGCAAGGAAAGGATACGTTAGGATTTCTGAGTTCAAAAGATACCCTGGTTATGGAACTTTGTCTCTGGAGGGTGCGGTAGCTCTAGTTAACAGATATCCATACATACTATTCACGCGCTGACGTACCATTTCTTACAAATATTCAACTATTTTCTCTTTATAAATAAACCGTACCTTGTGCACCAATCCAAATTCATTAAGAAAATATAAAAAAATAAGACAAACAAACAATAAAACTATACTAAGGAATGAATAGCATCCAACAAACTGGACATAAAAGGAAAATTTCGGAAGGCAATGATGCTGTGGAGATAAAATAAGACAAAATTTCAGTTGATTTTATCTACAATTAGGATAAACTAATAAAAGAAATCTAAAAGAATACTTCTAAGGTACATAAACTAAGCAACTTATAAATCTATTTACATATATAATGCATATAAATAAGAGCCAATGCATATGATCTGCAAAATCACAAACACATTACTGATTCTCCCAAGTAATTAATAATGAGTAATACAATTAAATTTCCCTGCAATCTTGTTAGTCATCTCTATTAAAACTACCAAATTGGGCACTTAAGCAGGATATACAAAATCTAAAAAATCTATCACCTTTATGAATAGGCCTACACCTAATTACCTGTCAATAAACACCTGCACACAAAGGGCCTAGACAACCATCCCTATGCCTAAAAGATACTTCGAATTTAAGAAAGGAATTCCCCTACCATTGCCCCGATGCCCTGCCCAGCCCTGAGACCGGACACTTGAAGGCTCTCCCTCCCAGGCAGCCAGGCACAGAGCACAAAAAGCCTCGCCCCCTGAGTCCCGGAATACAAGCAAAATATTGACTGACAGCTGGGGAAATCACCATAAACAACGACCAATCACCATATACCATCGGCCCACGCCAAGATATGACGAAGCGAAGGAACCACGGGGTCTAAATCGGCGATTTTCTGCCGGAAAGTTGCACGTGGCTCGCAATTGCACAGGACCGCATGGCGCTGCATTGCCTGCATAGCACAAGGACGAGAAGGAATAGACCCTCAATTTCTTGAGCATCCTTGACTTACACTCCGTCATTCCCACGATTCCGATATTTTCACTCCCAGAGGTATCAGCCGATCACCCCCTGCCAATGCTCCGCTGCGAGGCTCGGCCGGGAAACCGCGTTCTTTCCAGCCGGCGACGAGAACCTCCGCGACCGCCATCACTCCTCCTCGAGACCCCACGTCCACATGCTGGCCCCCGTCCCTTCGC